GTGCAACTCTGGGGTGTTTTTTTAAGTGAAAATAGATCGATGTGCACATGGGAAAAGCCAATGTGGTGCGCAATGCCGAGTTTGTGCGCGATGCCGAGTTTGTGCAATTCTGGGATGTTTTTTAAGTGAAAATAGCTCGATGTGCACATGGGCAAAGCCAATGTGCTGCGCAATGCTGAGGTTGTGCGCGATGCCGAGTATGTGCAACTCTGGGATGTTTTTTAAGTGAAAACAGATCGATGTGCACATGGGCAAAGCCAATGTGGTTCGCAATGCCGAGGTTATGCGCGATGCCGAGTTTGTGGCAATTCTGTTTTTTTTTTAAGTGAAAATAGATCGATGTGCACATGGGGCAAAGCCAATGTGGTGCGCAATGCCGAGTTTGTGCAATTCTGGGATTTTTTTAAGTGAAAATAGGTCGATGTGCACATGGGCAAATCCAATGTGGTGCGCAATGCCGAGTTTGTGCAACTCTGGGATGTTTTTTAAGTGAAAATAGATCGATGTGCACATGGGAAAAGCCAATGTGGTGCGCAATGCCGAGTTTGTGCAATTTGGGATGTTTTTTTTAAGTGAAAATAGATCGATGTGCACATGGGAAAGCCAATGTGGTGCGCGATGCCGAGTTTGTGCAATTCTGGGATGTTTTTTTAAGTGAAAATAGGTCGATGTGCACATGGGCAAAGCCAATGTGGTGCGCAATGCCGAGTTTGTGCAATTCTGGGATGTTTTTTAAGTGAAAATAGATCGATGTGCACATGGGCAAAGCCAATGTGGTGCGCAATGCCGAGTTTGTGCAATTCTGGGATGTTTTTTTAAGTGAAAATAGGTCGATGTGCACATGGGCAAATCCAATGTGGTGCGCAATGCCGAGTTTGTGCAACTCTGGGATGTTTTTTTTTAAGTGAAAATAGATCGATGTGCACATGGGAAAAGCCAATGTGGTGCGCAATGCCGAGTTTGTGCAATTCTGGGATGTTTTTTTAAGTGAAAATAGATCGATGTGCACATGGGCGAAGCCAATGTGGTGCGCGATGCCGAGTTTGTGCAATTCTGGGATTTTTTTAAACTGAAAATAGGTCGATGTGCACATGGGCAAATCCAATGTGGTGCGCAATGCCGAGTTTGTGCAATTCTGGGATGTTTTTTAAGTGAAAATAGATCGATGTGCACATGGGCAAAGCCAATGTGGTGCAATGCCGAGTGCGCGATGCCGAGTTTTGTGCAATTCTGGGATTTTTTAAGTGAAAATAGATCGATGTGCACATGGGCAAAGCCAATGTGGTGCGCGATGCCGAGTTTGTGCAATTCTGGGATGTTTTTTAAGTGAAAATAGGTCGATGTGCACATGGGCAAATCCAATGTGGTGCGCAATGCCGAGTTTGTGCAACTCTGGGATGTTTTTTTTAAGTGAAAATAGATCGATGTGCACATGGGAAAAGCCAATGTGGTGCGCAATGCCGAGTTTGTGCAATTCTGGGATGTTTTTTTAAGTGAAAATTGATCGATGTGCACATGGGCAAAGCCAATGTGGTGCGCGATGCCGAGATTGTGCAATTCTGGGATTTTTTTAAGTGAAAATAGGTCGATGTGCACATGGGCAAATCCAATGTGGTGCGCAATACCGAGTTTGTGCAACTCTGGGATGTTTTTTAAGTGAAAATAGATCGATGTGCACATGGGAAAAGCCAATGTGGTGCGCAATGCCGAGTTTGTGCAATTTGGGATGTTTTTTTAAGTGAAAAATAGATCGATGTGCACATGGGAAAGCCAATGTGGATGCGCAATGCCGAGTTTGTGCAATTCTGGGATTTTTTTTAAGTGAAAATAGGTCGATGTGCACATGGGCAAAGCCAATGTGGTGCGCTATGCCGAGGTTGTGCGCGATGCCGAGCTTGTGCAATTCTCGGGATTTTTTTTAAGTGAAAAATAGATCGATGAGCACATGGGCAAAGCCAATGCCGTGCGCAATGCCGAGGTTGTGGCATTTCTCTGGGATGTTTTTTAAGTGAAAATAGTCGATGTGCACATGGGCAAATCCAATGTGGTGCGCAATGCCGAGTTTGTGCAACTTCTGGGATGTTTTTTTTAAGTGAAAATAGATCGATGTGCACATGGGAAAAAAGCCAATGTGGTGCGCAATGCCGAGTTTGTGCAACTCTGGGATTGTTTTTTAAGTGAAAATAGATCGATGTGCACATGGGAAAGCCAATGTGGTGCGCAATGTGGTTGTGCGCGATGCCGAGTTTGTGCAATTCTGGGATGTTTTTTTAAGTGAAAATAGGATCGATGTGCACATGGGCAAAGCCAATGTGGTGCGCAATGCCGAGTTTGTGCAATTCTGGGATGTTTTTTTAAGTGAAAATAGATCGATGTGCACATGGGCAAAGCCAATGTGGTGCGCAATGCCGAGTTTGTGCAATTCTGGGATGTTTTTTAAGTGAAAATAGGTCGATGTGCACATGGGCAAATCCAATGTGGTGCGCAATGCCGAGTTTGTGCAACTCTGGGATGTTTTTTTAAAGTGAAAATAGGTCGATGTGCACATGGGCAAATCCAATGTGGTGCGCTATGCCGAGTTTGTGCAACTCTGGGATGTTTATTTAAGTGAAAATAGATCGATGTGCACATGGGAAAAGCCAATGTGGTGCGCAATGCCGAGTTTGTGCAATTCTGGGATGTTTTTTTAAGTGAAAATAGATGGATGTGCACATAGGTAAAGCCAATGAGGTGCGCAATGCCGAGTTTGTGCAACTCTGGGATGTTTTTTTAAGTGAAAATAGATCGATGTGCACATGGGAAAAGCCAATGTGGTGCGCAATGCCGAGTTTGTGCGCGATGCCGAGTTTGTGCAATTCTGGGATGTTTTTTTAAGTGAAAATAGGTCGATGTGCACATGGGCAAATCCAATGTGGTGCGCAATGCCGAGTTTGTGCAACTCTGGGATGTTTTTTTAAGTGAAAATAGATCGATGTGCACATGGGAAAAAGCCAATGTGGTGCGCAATGCCGAGTTTGTGCAACTCTGGGATGTTTTTTTAAGTGAAAATAGATCGATGTGCACATGGGAAAAGCCAATGTGGTGCGCAATGCCGAGTTGTGCGCGATGCCGAGTTTGTGCAATTCTGGGATGTTTTTTTAAGTGAAAATAGGTCGATGTGCACATGGGCAAAACAAATGTGATGCGCAATGCCGAGTTTGTGCAACTCTGGGATGTTTGTTAAGTGAAAATAGATCGATGTGCACATGGGAAAAGCCAATGTGGTGCGCAATGCCGAGTTTGTGCGCGATGCCGAGTTTGTGCAATTCTGGGATTTTTTTTAAGTGAAAATAGATCGATGTGAACATGGGCAAAGCCAATGTGGTGCGCGATGCGGAGTTTGTGCAATTCTGGGATGTTTTTTAAGTGAAAATAGGTCGATGTGCACTGATCATTGAGTAAAAGGGAAAACGAGGTTGTGCGTGATGTCGAGGAGTAATGTGACTTTATTTATGTGCAATGTTTAACATATCGTTTGTGTATTTTAAATTTGTATTGTTGTTTTAATTGTGAATTATATTTAAGACATAATTTTTCATTTAAATTGTATTTTTAATATGTTTATAACGCTTTCCGATTTACGATATATATGGATAGTCCGACGATCGACTCAACAGTAGCAAAACTGTAAACTTTAACGCTTGAAGGAACGTTTACCCTATTTTAATACGTAGTGTTTGGTATCGTAATTGCAAATAATATGTGTGTGTGTGCGTATGTGAAGCATTGCTTAGTGTTCCAAGTTTTGTAGTATTTATTTTATTATATTATTTTCTTTCATTCTGAGAAATTAGATTTTTTTATTTATTAATGCGTAGAATTCTAGCATGCCTGCACAGAATATAGCGTGATTTAGGAATTTTAGAAACTGATATGAAAGCTGTGTAATGATGTTCATATGCAATTAAAAAATATTCTTTTTTTATTAACGTAAAGTTTAAAAATTTTTAGAAATAATGAAAATTGTCTAATTATTGGTATGTAAGGAATTATGTCGTTACGTAGCAAGAAGGTAATTTGTAAAAATGATAAAATTGAAATGTTCCACAATATGAATTTAAATTAAAAAAATAGTTTATTTGTATAAATAAAAAAATTAATAAAAAAATAATAATTTAATATTGAAGCTCTACAACTATTAGAGACTGCGACGTTGTTTATCGTTTTAATAATTGGTAGAATTTCGCTCACTGTATCATGGTAATTTTTATAAACGATTTATTATACTTATTATCAGTAAACGCCTAAAACTTAAATGTTATAAATGTAAATTAAAAGTAAAGAAATTTGATATTAATTTACCATAATAAACAATTTATTATGTTATTTTTAAGAGAGAAATAGAAAGTACACGTAGTGTAAATGCGAGACTACATTGTGACGTCATAAGCTTAGTCCCACCCATTTAATGACGTCACGCAGCTCCTCATACTGAACTTTGTTGATGCAGCCTATTCTGCGCTTTTACCCAATATGCTAATGATTTTCATGTTACATTAGTATAATTTCCACAATTAGCACAGGAAAACAAAATTTGCGCTTTATATTAGAAGAGAAATTTCTTTTCCACATTCAAAACATCCACATTGGCGATGTTTGGCGACGGGTACATTAACCCCTAGACTAATTTAATTATAGCTATTATTACAGAAATTAGCAGATACTTAGGTTATTGTACACAAGAATTTCACTTTACTTACACATTATAAACATCAGAGAAGATATAAACTCTAAATCAAGGCGTAATTAACATTATACTTACTAAGCAAATTTCAGCGCTTGGACCAGGTTTCCAATTGTCTCTTCGGCAATTATTTACCCATATTTTTCTTCTTTCTTCATTTTTAGGAAATTTTACCAATGTATGACCTTTCCGTGAATGATTTGAACAATTAATAGCTGCACATCCGCCCATTTTACACAAAAAAAAACACAAAAAATTGTTGCACCGTAACTACACAGCCGCCATAATCTCCCACTTGGGATAGCGAATGCCTGATGATTCAGCCTGGTATATAGGAGCCTTAGGTAAACCGAATTCCAGGGGGAAAAGACTTTGCTTAAGGTGCGCAAAATGACAACGACAACTGATTTGTCAAAGCCCGACTTCCTTGGTTTCTGTCTTTCTTTATTGCAAATGTTTGTGCTGCCGCAATTTATCATAATATAATATTAGGAAATTATAATGGCCAAATCTGAAAATTTTCAGAGCTCAAAATTTGAACCTGGTGCTGCACGTTTCGGAAATTTTATCAACTATTATTCATTCAATTCTGTATCAAAGAGATTGGAAGCCATCCCAGCAGATTTATTGTCACAACTTCAATTAAATATTCATCCTATCGTGTGTTTGGATATAGGATGTAATGCTGGTGTATGTATAGTTTAGTATTAAAGCAGTATGGATTGTGTGTATACATATATAAACAGAAAACATTCACACTAGAATTTAAGTTCTGATAAATTTAAGTTCTGATAAAATTACGTTTGCCCTTTCCTATGCTCGAATCTATGAAATAATGATCCCTTAAGTTATCTAGTGATATAGCATTCAGAAAAATGTAAATTTTTAGTTGACGACTTTAGATAACGATGATGAATAGTTGCTGTGAGTTTTATTTTAACAGTTGTAGAAGTGTATCTCAGAACACAATGAATCATTCCCAGGTGGATTCGTATGCGATGCTAATAATGTTCCTTTTATTCGTGAAGATATGAACGGTATGCTTATGATGCGTTGTTGAATAGAAAATTGTAAGAAAGTGCTTAAGTTTATTTAATGTTTCCGTAATGTCAGCATATTCTGCATTTTACTGTAAGTTTCAATAACAATAAACATTTTCAAATAATATCTAAATTTTTATTTTTATTACTAATTATATTATTATAATTTTAATAAATGCGTAATAGTTCTAAATGATTGTGGCAATTTCCGACTTCCTTCATAACTTAGTATCCAAAGCAGTCAAAACTTGTTAATTCTAAAAACTGGAAATGTAAAAATTTCCTTGTTATGTCATATTTTGCAGCACCCACATTTGGCACCATATGGAAACAGATGATACAAGCTTTCATATTATATTGTATTATTAGTTTAGTGAAGTTAAATTTTAAATTTTTTTAAAATATGATATAGGTAATTATTTGAATGATAGTAGTTGTTAATCATATAAACTTGTACCACACGAAAATTTTGCTTTCTGTTATACATTATAAAAATACTTATTATATATAGAAATTTCTATTGCATATGTTCAAATCTGATACCTTTTTACGGTCTAGTTTTGTAAAATAATACTTATATCTAGATGTTTCATGTTACCTTTTTCATGATAATTAATACCATTTTATATCAGCTTATCTTTATCTTAAAAGTTGAGATAATTAAATATTTCATTTAGAAGCTTAATTACCATTTAATTACTTTAAGAAAGAGGTACTTCTCTGATGATTTTCATAAAAGTGATCCTGAAAGGAATAGTGTTTCATGTACCATAATTCTTTTCTCAGAAACACTTCTGCAAAGAACCTGGTAAATTTAAACACCGCCAGCATTGGCGATAATAGATCCCTTTTTTTTCTGACCAAAAACAAGTTTTTTCGTACATTTCAATATGACATAGATTTTGAATCAATTATTTTTTCTTCTGTTATATTTGTAGAAATATACCCAAAAAATCATTAGAGCCATTTAATGATTTGTGAAAATTAGTTAGTTTTAATGGAGGTTGGTCATCGAGTCTGAGGACTTCAGTGTTGATACTGTAGGCAATAATTGTTATTGATTATAATAACTACTACTTTCACTCACCATCAATAGCAACATATGAAATGAAAAATACTGTATTTGACAGCATATAAGATGCACCCTTATTTAGACAGCCACACACAAGGAAAAAAGTTTCAATAACGTGGTTTCTTTTAGTTCTCACGTTTCGTAAAAGTCAAATAAACAATTATTGAATGCAATTACCTTCACGTATAAGACGCAGATAACTTTTTTTAGACCATATTTAGGAAAAAAAGTGTGCCTTATATGTTGTCAAATACGGTAATTATTCTAGAGTTACTGAAGTGTTGTCATGAATGAAATCAACAAGGAATTACCATTTTAGTAAAAAGTAAAAATTGAGTGCTAGAGAGAAAAATAAAGATGTTATAATATGAAAAATTGATTCTTGCTTTTTTTTTTTTTCTGTTTAAATTTTATAAAAAAAGAACTTTGCAAGCAGCAACAATACCACTCTCTCTGAGACACATACCAGCTTTCTGTAATTATTACTGATTTATATCCTCTGTTATGGAAGTATGGATATGACAAATATAGCTGTAGAAAACTGGTTGCTTCATGTGATAAGAGTAAAACTTAAGCTTGTGTCACATGTACATGTCTTTATGGGTTCCATGAAATGTTGTTTAGCCTACTGCTTGGCAACAAAATTTTTTCTGAGGTACAAACATGCTACATTTGCAATCTTTATTTATCAAAACAGAAAAGCATCTGGAGCAAAGAAATTTTAAAATTTTTTGTATGAAACTTAGTGCTACGAGAGCAGAAAATCAGAGATTTAGCATAGGCAAACTTCTTTGAGCTTAGAAATTTGATTAATGAATGATAAGTTCTAGAATAATTCCAGAGGTTTAGGAAGGGAAAGGATTAAGAATTTGTATTTGGCGATGAAATAGATTGATTAATGAATGAGTTTTTTTTTTACTCAGTTTGGTAGGAGGGATATTTGAAAGAAAACAGCAGACTCATTTGAATATGATTGATGCTTGTTACCATTCTTATGCATTAAGGATGTCATGTGGAACAATCATGTTTCTTATGTTTTCTGCAAATACTGTAATTACCAAATCCTGTGTGGGAAAAGGTTATGGTTATTTAGCGAACTAGGTAACCGATCACTGCACATCTTGTAACTGGAAGAGGATTAATTGATTCACATAATATACTGAAAATTATTAGTCATCTTCACAGCAGTAACAACTGTTATGGGTCCACAAAAATAAGTTACAAGAAGCACATGACTGCAAGTGGAACTATACTACTAACTGAAATACAGTTAATATACTTCATTGTTTCGCAGGTAAAGAGTACAGTTTTAGGAACATGAATTAATCTGGTTAAATAAATAGAAAGTAAATAATAGTTTAGAAGTCTAGTTACTGTTAAACTGCATTAGTTATGAAAAAGATCACTGAAAGTACAGCTGATTTTCTTGCGATTTTTAAGTTGCAATGGAAAAAAGCTGTGTTAGATTGTGCATGAAAATGGATTTGATTGCTTCTGAAAGTCTAAGTGTTTTCTTATTTTTATGTGACAGAAAGGAACAAGCTAATGGATTTGACTAGTGTTGCCATAAAAAAGAGTAAATATTAGGGGGGAACCCATATGAGCATATAAAACTAGAATCTTTATGAAGGTTATTATCTTTAAATTAAAAATTGCTTTTCATAAGCTTGCAGCCACTTCTTTCCAAAGCACCCTTGTGGAGGTTTCTGTCTTGGTGAACAGTGGCCAACTGTCATAAAGATTCCAGCACCTTTTAAGATGGCACACAGTTATGCAACATGATTCCCAGTTTTTCCTAAAACAGTACAAAATCCGAGATTCAGATATCCAATATCCGGACCTTAACACCACCCAAAAAAATTTTTATGCTTTACACATACACATTTGATTTTTTCCCCTGTAAGAAAGCATGTGGAGATTCTTAGTTTCACTTCAGTACTGAATAAAATACCTTGTTATTGAAGAAGCAATCATTTGAGCATAACTTTGTGTGATCAATAATCTGGCTGCATATCTGCTTTTCCAATTAATAGATTTTGTAAAGAAATGTGGAGAAGCAGTAATAAGTAAAGATGACATAACAGAAGTTTTTCATTGCGATGGCAGTGTTCCAATGGTAAAAGTATATTTATGGGCACCCCTTTGCAATTTTTGGCGGCACTTGAATACCTGAGTTTGTACAATTCTTTGACTTGTTATCTTGGCTTTGTGTAGGGGCAATTTTAGCGCCAAAAATCGCCACTGCTCAAAGACAAAATAACAAGTTGAAGAATTGCACAAACTCTGTATCCATGTACACATTGACTTATTTTCACTTAAAAAAAATTACAGAATTGCACAAACTAGGCATTGTGCACACCCTTGACTTTATACATATACACATTGACCTATTTTCACTTAAAAAAATCAGAGAAGTGCATAAACTTGTCATTGCACACTCCCTTTGTCCATGTACACATCGATATATTTTCACTTAAAAAGTCGAAGAAGCACCCAGTTCTACAGTAGAGACAAACAAAAAAATGCATAATATCAATAAACTAAATCTTAAACCAAACAATAAAATAACATAAAAAAGGAAAAACCTCTTATGCGTAGCACTACACAAAGCAAATATCCACTTACCTTATTTAGAAATTTCTTTGTCTTCAGTCTGTGGCACACGAAATTCCTTAACAGCATCCAAAAATTTCCTAAAATTATCTGAGCTTGAATCTGTATATCGATGTCGTCACATAAATTCACAAAAATAAGAGTAAAAAATATCCTCTGTAGTTCCGAACAGTCCTGAAAATGGCTACTAAATAGACCATCATTTACACACCAGTCAATTAATGCTCTTTTCCCCTTTTGTTCCAAATCGTACAGAAACTTCAAATTAATCTTACTACATTCAGCCATTCTACAGACTAAGCAACAAAACAAGCAATGTAGTTCCTAACTAACACGCACCACAAGCCCTTACAAAACATCCTATGATTCAAAATGTATCACAATCATACAACCGATTACGTCATAATAGGGTTTCCATAACATTCAACTACTCAGGTTACCATAAATGAAACAACATAATAAAACATAAATGAAACGGCAACTTCGCGCAGTCTACTCTAACCGTTTCAAACATCAATCAATTAACGGACGGCGAAATCTATAGTATGGTTCTATATCTAGAAAATATTGATACAGATATCGAAGAAAGTGACAAGAGGTTATTGAAAATGAAAAATTTTGATTGACAAATTAATCGAAATTCTTGAGGCAGCAACTACAGGACTTGAACAGTGGAACTTCGTAACTGAACAAGAAATTACGTCTGTCTACAGAATTGAAGAGAAAGTATAAGCACAAAAAATGAAGCAACAACAACAGTTGACATTCAAAGAAATGTTTAATAAAGTAAGCAGATAAATATTAAGCTTTTTTTTTTTTTTTTTTTGTAAATTTTGATACCCTTTAGATCATAGATGCTTCATTATTTCATAAATCATGATTTCATAATTTTATAATTTTTGCATGCCATGTCACTGATGATCCAATATCCAGAATCGCTGAAGTTCTGACGAGTCCAGATCTTG